TTTTCAGTTCAAAGCACAGAAGTTAACAGTTTGACTCTAAGAAACTCATCTTAGGGTCTGGACAGATAGCATTTACCTTCATGGAATGTATGTTACTATTTTAAATCAATGTAAATTGCATTGGAGTCCTGAGTGGACAGACAAACAGCAATGTATGCTATCTTCTTGCTGTAGGTGGTATTTACAATACCTCCCCACCAGATGGTAGGAAAGTTTGCAGTAGATTCTGCCTTGTAACAAATGGCTTCTATGAGATGGACACTGACATTCAACAGAATCGCAGGAAAACAGGGCTGAAAAGGATCTCACAAGTTCATCTGGTCCAGTCCCCTGCTAGAGGCTGGACCACCCATGACTAATCCCAGCCAGAAGTCTATCCAAACTTCTCTTGAAAGTTGCCAGGGATGGAGATTCCACAATTTTCTAGGCGGCTTGGCTTCTTCCAGTGCTTCAACCACCCAGATAGCCTGAAAGTTCTTCCTAATATCCAGCCTGAATTTCCTCTGCTGCAGCATGATGTCATTGCTCCTGTCTTAGTATAGCCCCAGAGGAAAAACTATTTCCATCCTCTCTCTATAAACACCCTTCACGTATTTGAAGAGTGTTATCAAATTCCTTCCCCCTCTCCCTCGTCTGTCTTTTCTTATCAGACTGAATAACCCTACTTCTTGAAGCTTTCCCTCATAAACATATTCCTTAGGCTTCTACTCACTTTTGTCACTCTCTGCTGGACTCTTCTGAATCTGTCTACATCCTCCAGGAAGCATGGGGCCCAAAACTGGACAGTACTCTGGCTGAAGCTTCACCGGTCCCAAATAAGAGTGGAAGAATCATTTCTTTTGATTTGCAAGTGAGACTCCTTGTAATACATGTCATTGTGTTGTTGGCATTTTTTTTTTTTCCAACAAGAGCACACTGGTGGTTCATATTCAATTTATAGTTCACTGTACCTAGACTAGTAGGTACAAATTATCCCCCAGTGACTTAACCCCAGATGAGGCACTTATGCTGCTGTAAATGTAATGTACCCAAACTGTTAATGTAATTATAAACATATCTAAGGTTAATGCAAGTCCAATCAGCAAATGGCTCAAGTTTTGCTTATTAGGAGCACTAAGACAAAACTTGAGCAGCCAGTAGCTTTTGGTTATTCTATGCTACACCATTAATTCATCCTATGATCAGAGAGCACATTTATAAATCCTGAGAACACTTGTAAGTTACACCCTTCAGTTAAAAAAAATGTAATAAGCTGCTAGGATTAAGACCTATAAATATAATAAATTTATTACAAGGAATGAGAACAATTAATTGAGGCAGAACACTGGAATGGATTAAGCGCTTCACTGCAGTAGGCTTGCTTTTAAGACATTTATTTGTAATATGCTTCAGAGGAAAAAAGTTACAGAACACTATTTTTACTTCCATTTGTTCACCAAATTAAAAACAAAAACACACAACAAAATGTAGTAATTAGGTTGTCTCTCTGACAGCATCAGAATTCAATTATGTTCCTTTTATAAAATATTTTTTTTAATGCTATTTGGAATTTGACACTGCCACAAGAATTTATTAGGAGCTGTAATGGGTAAAATAGGAAGCTGTTGTCAAAACTCAGATTAAATTTCTATGTACACAGAACTAAAATATGGTACTACTTTTTATTAAGCAGTGCCATCTTTCATATGTCAGTGAAGTCATATATGCACCCAAGTTAAAGTTATTTTAGAATAATAGTTGGAGGAGTTAACTAAAATTTATTAAGAAAATGGCTTAAATTTCTGGGGGGTTTTTTTGTTTTTTAACTATGATTCAAATGAAATTCTGACAAAATTCCAACACTAGGCATTGCACAACTAGTTAGTAGAATAAGTGAATGACGAGTTACCATTTACATATGTAGTCTAGTATACAGGAAGGTTTGCTAAGCATGTACGTACAATACTTCTTATAAAAATAATTTAAAGCAATACTGCTTACTTTTCTCTTTCTTTACATGGGGCACTATGGTACTACAAAACTTGTCTAAATCCTTCCTAACGCTATATAGCTGGTCCAATAAAAAAAAGATACCACCCACAAAAAAAAAAAAATCTTTCCCCGAGCAACAACATATTTACTCTGTTTGATTAAAAAAGGGGTTTGCCAAGCATACACAAATATTAACGATTATCAATAAAACAGATGAGGCCAGAACTCTTCATAATTTAAAAAAAAACAAAACAAACCTCACAGCCCATTTTACCTACAGGATATTTTTATTAGGAGCATTTTTTGGTCTTCATCAGTCCTGTTTTGTAGTTGACATGCTTGGGGAACAGACATTTAGAAGATTTAGTAAGGACAGGTGATAACCCATACTGTTTGCTACTGCTCAGGCCAGAAGCCCTATCTAGGCTACTATTTTTGCATCATGGTGCAAAAGAAACAGCATGAAACTGATAAGCTTCCACTAATTTTACTCCACTGGGGTGGGGAGATAAATTTCTACTTTTTCCATACCCGAGACAACAGGAGAGAGCAATCTGCTTGTCAAAACTGAAATTCATGCTCCATCTATACTTACCCTGAAGTCAGCAAGAAGACTGTAATGATCAGAGGATAGTTATTAGTTTACTTAAATATGAATACTATTTGTCACCTTGAATGCTGTGGTAAAATTTAAAGAAGGAATCTCACTTGTCATGTGTTAGAGTGATGCTGTAGTTATGATGGCCCAATAATTGTGAGAGGATTTCCTAGGGTAAGCCTTTTATTGGACCAGCATTCTCCATCAGTATCATCTGAGCAGTAAAAGCCAATACAGCATAGTAAAAACACAATTGTAAGAGGGGATAGAGAAATTCCCATGGACAGCAGACAAACAGAAGCTGATTACAGGGAGGGTACCACAGTTGGGTATGATGAGATTACCTTGTTTGCAGATCTTTGGGAGTGCACAAAGTTCCTCGGGTGGGAGAGTGAGGAATAAGTGCAAGCAGTTTTTCCTGGAGCTGGTGTGGGAAGGATGTGATTATATTCTCCAGTTCCAGAGTGAATTCTGGTTTTGGGTCTTCCTCAAGTTCTTTACAATATTTGGTGCAAGAGAGTTGTCTGGTGGCTTCACTGATGCAGTCTTTATGGTTGATGATGACTAACTATAGCTCCACCTTTGTCTGCTGATTTGATTACTCTCTCACTGTGTGGCTTTATGGCTGTATGGGACTGTACGGCTTGTCTTTGAGGGAGGGAGGTTTCCACGCTTTTATTGAGAATTTTGCTTAAGGGAAATCTACTTAACACCTTTAAGAGGAGAACTTGGAAACAAAAATTCATAAGCTGGATGGACACTAAGAAGCCAGGATTCACCACCGAAACTGGTTTTATGACACACTGTAACAAACTTGATTCCTGAATTATTATCATGCATGAAAAATGAGAATGACCCTCCTTCCTTCTGATAGGCCTCTCTCTCAGTAATCAGCTTCTTTTTTCTGCTACTTGTTCATGTTACCTGTGGCAATTTCTCCCGCTCTTAAAACTGTTTTTATTTATTTATTTCTTTACTATGCCATTCTGGCTTTTACTGTTTTATGAAGAATGCCTTGCATCTGAAAGCTTGTCTAACTGTTTCCTGACTATGCAGCTGGTCCAATAAAAGGCATCAGTCCAAGAAATCCCGGCCTCGTTTCTCAATGTGTTCTTCCTGTCCTATGTAGCAATATAAGCAAAACCATTTTGTTACATGTTGAAAGGTTTAAATGTTTTTAATATTATAATTTATAGCTGATAAAAATATACCCAACTTCTTTAGAGATCAATGGGTTGATCACTTAAGTGTCAAAAAGGAGCAGTGTAACAATGACAGTTAAAATCCCTCAAAGACACCTAAAAAAAAGCATCCATTCTTTTAAATGGATATTCTTACTGCTTTTTCACCTCTGTCAGGATGCATTTTGCCATCCATTTTGTGAAGGGTTGATATAATATCATATTTTCTTTTGAAGGTTAAATCAGAAAAGAATTGTGGGTACTGCTTTTTCTTCTCAACACTTCACACAAATATGACGTGCAGTTCTGAGGTGTATTTTTTTTTGCTTTACCAGAGCAGATGTCAAAATGGAAGAGAAACAGGTGAAAGGACACACATGGCTTTACTGAATAAACTCCCTCATTAGAATTTTCGTTAAAAATAGTGATAGATACTTTAAGATCAGTATTAGAAATCGGATGATCAGAGTACCCCAATTTCTCAGTAAAAATTCTCTGTTTCATGAGAACAAAGGTCAGTATATATGTTTTCATTCATATATGAAAGAATTACAATCTTAAATATTCAAACAAAATATGACCCCAGAGTTAACATTATCAATAATTGTTTCTTACAAACATAAGTTAACTTGAAATGAATTCTGGATAACCATTTTAGGGCAATCTTCAAAGACTTATTTGTAAATCTAATTGTAGATATAATTAAGATTATTAAACACAGTATAAAAGCTAATGCCATCTAAATGGGCAAGAACAAGTCAAGTTCGCGTACGTGTTTTTCCTGCTAGAAAGGTGTAGCCTCCCCTTTGTATAATTATAAAACTATTTAAACAAATACATTCTGTAATAACTATATTCAGCATCATGAGAAAATATCTATGTGGGCAGCATTTATAGCAGACAGCCTCAGCTGTATATGTGGCCTAACAAAAGACTGCTTTTTCCCCCCCCAAATGTTACTAAATATAAAGAAAAGCCTTAAAACTGAATTCAGCTCTTTATTTTCTTTTTATTTCTTAGTCTTTTCTGAAATCCATCACAGTCACTTCAAAATGAAGATATTTACATGGACTTTGGGTATGGTATTATTTCTACTACTGTCTACAGGCCATTGCAGAGAACAGGCTGCACTCAATAAAATATCCCAGAAGAGGCATCCTCGCTCAACAGATGGTGGAGAAGAAGGGAAAAAATGTGGTTACACGTTCCTGGTTCCTGAACAAAAAATAACAGGACCAATTTGTGTAAACACTAATGGACCACGTTCTGATAACAGAAAAGATGAAGTCACAAGGATGGACATAGAAAATCTAAAGGATGTACTATCCAAGCAGAAACGGGAGATTGACATCTTGCAACTAGTGGTGGATGTAGATGGAAATATTGTGAATGAAGTAAAATTGTTGAGAAAAGAAAGTCGTAACATGAACTCTCGAGTCACTCAACTTTACATGCAGCTCTTGCATGAGATAATTCGAAAGCGGGATAATTCTCTTGAGCTTTCCCAACTGGAAAACAAAATCCTCAATGTTACAACAGAAATGCTGAAGATGGCAACAAGATACAGAGAGCTCGAAATAAAATATGCAGCACTGACTGATCTTGTAAACAATCAGTCCGTGATTATTTCTTTATTGGAAGAACAATGCTTGCGGGTATTCTCACGACAGGACACGCATGGGTCCCCACCTCTTGTTCAGGTGGTACCACAGCACATACCTAACAGTCAGCCCTATACACCTGTGCTTTTGGGAGGTAATGAAATTCAGAGAGACCCAGGTTATCCTAGAGATAGAGATGTAAGACCACCACCTGATCCAGCTACTTCTCCTACAAAAAGTCCGTTTAAGATACCACCACTAGCTTTAATTAACGAAGGTGAGTTTATCAATTTCTACATAATGATTTCTTGATTTTAAACAAATAGGCAATGAACCTATAATACTTATTCATAATAAGAAGGGAATGAGTAATTAAAAAAGAACAACATTCAAATAAATATAGCCTGTTTTCTAATAACAACTTTTGAAAGCAGCTTTAGATTTTCTAAATTACCAAAGTCCTAGGGTTGATTCTGAGCTGTACTTGGCAGGAAGTTTCATGCAAGTATTTAGTATTTTAAATTCAAGTTATATAGTTCAGTTTTAATTGACACATTTATTATTTATTTATTTAGTTTATGCGCCATCCTCTCCAAAAAGGCTCATTCATCCAGTTATAAATTATACTTATTATGTGCCGCTGCAGGAGGTTGAGTAATGCTTTGCAGTGCTGCTCCCCTTCACCCAATTATGTAGATTTAGTAAACACAAAATTAGTAGTAAAAAAGAAGAAAGCATTTCACTGAAGGAGTTTTAGAACTAGCACGATTACTGCATGTGTTTATAAAGATTTGATGGAACTGTTGTTTTAACTTCATCTCCACAGTCCTGAAAGCTTTTATAATCCTTTTCTCATGTATGCTTTCTAAGTAACCATCTCTCTCCTAACTTTTTATAAGCTTACACAACAAAATGCTCTGCACTGCTTTCAGTCACAGCTGGATATTCAGCTGGGTTCCTGGGGTAAAGATGCATATTTATTGTGGCTATTCTGCAAACACTACAAACAACCAGCTGCTGATACAAAGAGAAACTATTTTCCTCAAGGTCTGGGGAAAAGTCAGAGTACAACAGAAATAACAAATGTCATGAGAACTGAATCACCTATATGCAGCACAAGAGAAATGTAGCCAATAAAAAGAAGTTATGTTCAAGTCTAATCAGGAGCATAGGCAGAATGGTCTTAAGGGCTATAGAAAAACTGTGTACCCGCTTCACAATTAACAAACAGAAATGCCCATAGATATGAGATAAAGCAACAACACAAACAAATATTTTCTGTAAAATATTTAAGTCTTTCTTTTTCCCCAATCCTTTCAAAAGTGGCATCCATTTCTGGAACTTAAGATAAAGGAATCTTAACAGATTTATCTTAACAGTAATGGTTTGATTTGCCCAAGGTTCCTCTCCCCACCCTCTAAAACACTGGAATTTGTAGCTTAAAAAAGGGGCATCTTGCACAAAGCAGGGAGAAGGATAGAGCAGTTCTGGAACTGATGAAATGCAAGTTATTGAAACTTAAAATAGAAATCAATGTATAATAAATTGCAAAACCATTGTAGTCAGCATCTCTCTCTGCTGCCACCAATTAAAGCACCTCAGTTTAACAGAAAAGTACATAAGAGATAAGCTATGCAAGAGGAGAGTTAAATTACTGGGGCAGGGAGCTGGGGCAGAAGTTAGAGGATCACAAAGAAATAGTTACTGATAGATAAAGATGACAAATAAAACACAAAAACCAACAGAGCACTGTTAAAGTTAAAAAGACAATTGCCAAGTATAGTGATAAAAGGAGCAGCTGTCAGCTGGACAAGTCAGAATACATTTTTCTCTTATTATATTTGAAGCAGTAGCTCAGGTGTGCTTGAAAAAGGAGAGCCAAGCTGCATGTAAAGACAGGCTTACTTTAAGTATGTATATATATTGTGGGTGGGAAGGACAATTCAACCACATTTCATTGAAGTGAAAATAAGGGAACTCAGCTTGATGGAAGACAACTCCCCGAAAGAAAAATAAGTGTCTACAAAAACAAAGTTCATTAATCGGAAAGTATGAATTCAAATTAAAAAAAAAAAATCTTAGTTGATAGTGGGTTGTTAGGGCAAAATAAGCAGCATTTTAAGCTCCATTTACCACTTTAAAATACAAAAGAGAAACAATCCTTTGACAACACAGATAATAGCCCCTTGTTTCATTTTGCTTATGAAAGGAAGTGTTTTGTAAGGAAATATTTTTTTCCAATGTCACGATGAAGAACGTATCATACCCAAAATAAACTCTTTTAATTCCATTAAAACAAGCCAAATGTTCCCTTACAGGTTACAAAGTCAACCATTAATAAATCAGAAAAAAGAAAAAGAATCAAATTTAAGATGGTGTATGAATCCTTAGCTTTCCCACCACATCTTTATCTTAAATCCTAGGTATACATTATTTTTTCACAGCCTTCAGTATTCAAAGCCTGATGTTGTACAGAAGTAGTTAGCCATGTTGGTGTCCATTCATAACAGCTGACAAAATAGGTTGTTGCTTTTGAAAATTCATGCCTCTCTGAACCAGTTAGTCTCTAAGGTGCTACTCTTGCCTACTTTCTGCGAGACTTAAAACGGTAGCAAGACATTTACTGAACCCAACAGATGTAGGATACAGGCACTGATTAAGCTTACATAAGCACACCTTTAAGTAACTACATATTTACATGAATACAAGACAAAGATTTTCTCCCAATTGGCAACAGGGAAAAAAGCCCCTCATCTTGATCCCACACAAGAATGTCTTACTAAATACAATGTCTATTACTCACCTGCTGCCAAAAGCAGGTGAGCGCTCAGCAATGAAAACCAACTATGAAGCTGATTAAATACAGACAACACTGAGCCTGAGTATAACACACATGGCCCATATCAGGCAAACTTGCTGATGGGTTCCTATCACAAGGACAGGTTAGTGCAGTCCATTTAAATAAGGCACATGGTAGTGCCCATTAAGTAAAGCCTCCCTCACTGGCAACTCTTTTTCAAGTCATGATGAGCCACTACCCTGCATTCATTTCGACTTCCTCTTCATTCTCACAGCTGAGGTATGCCTTTCTTTCCCCATTTCCAATGATTCCAGTTTCTGCAGCACCCTTAAATGTCTGGCAGACAAACATCACCAAACAGTCAACCCAGAATCCTCTATTTCTCTCTCTCAACCTGGCATCTATGATTAGTGTAGCCCTGCCTACACTTGAGGCAAAGCCAGACTAGGTTGCCCTGCACCTCATCTGTATATAAATTTTTGTAGCATCCCATGACTCATGACAAGAACAACTGGCTCCAGTCATGAGTGGGGGCTAGTCAGCACATGCATCCTTTGAGCAGGTGGGGGAGGGGGAATCTAGAATACACATACATACTGAGCAGTGCTGAGCTATTGGGTCACCATGACTTGAAATCCTATCAATTATGGTGGGACCCAACTCAATGAACTATGTGGTAAAATCACAAGCCTTTGGATTAACAGTGTGCACAGTAGGTGCGTCTACACGTGCATTAGAGCCGGGAGCAGTTTACTTGCTAGTCAAATACTCATGAGTACTTCATGCTCCTGGGCTAGTGTCCACATGTGCAGGGAAGCAGAAGCAGATTTCCTGCTAATGGCAGCAAACTGTTCTGCTTCCTGGGGCCCTACAATGTGCCCCTGCCACCACCAGAAGGATCTCTAGGCTCCCCCTTGGTGCTACCCCAGGGGCCGGCAGGAAGGACAGCATGAGGAGACAGCTGTCTCCACTTCTCCTGTGAACCCTGGGGGGCTGCCTAGCCCTGGCTCCCTGATCAGGGGCAGAGGACTTTGAAAGAGCCGCAGGGGAGGGGTGGCCCCCTACCCTGATTCATTGGTAGGGCAATTAACAGTTAGCTTGCTGCTAGCTGCCCCACTGGCAGATCAAGGCAGGGGGCTGGGACCTGCCCCACCCCCACAGCTCTTTACAAGTCATGTGCCTTGATAACCTGATCAAGGCACAGGACTGGGACCTGCCCCTAACTGGGACAGTTCCCAGCCCCCACTCCGCAATTGTGGAACAGGGACTGTGGAAAGCCTGTTCCCTGCTCACCTGCTCAGCTCCAGAATTGCAGACCTGGGCAGGGAACAGGCTTCCCAGGCTGTTCCCTGCCCACCTCTGCAATCACAGAGCTGAGCAGGGAATGGGCTCCCCAGACTATTCCCCACCTGGTTCTGTGATCATGGAGTGGAGTGGGGAATGGGATTCCCAGCTTGTTTCCCACCCAGCTCTATGCTTGTGGAGCTGAGTGGGGAACAGGCTCCCCAGCTGCTGCCAGCAGGGAGCTCCCAGCACTAGCTCTGTGACCATGGGGCCAACGTTGGGAGATAAGGATCTCTCAGCGCCAGCCCCATGGTCGCCAAGCTGGCATGGGGAGATAAGGATCTCCCAGCCCTCTGCTCCCCAATCGCAATGGCAAAGTGGGAAGCTTAGAACTTCCCGCTGCTGGGGCAGGGGGACATAGTGGCAGAGCCTGGCCCGGCAGCAGACAGCTTCCAGGGGCATGAAGAAATCTCCTACCAACTGGTGGCTGGCCGACCAGGAGCAGATTTGTTCCCAGTCAGGCATCTACATCAGCACTACTGTGCAGTAACTAATTGCAAGTTAAATTTGCTATGTGCATTTGCACATAGCAAATTTACTTGTGATTAGTGAAGCCTACTGTGCAGTAAGCATCTGCACATGTAGCCACACATGCTTACTGTGCAGTAAAGCATTTCATGGAGACACCCAGTTTGTCATAAGTAGATCCCAAAGTGCTGCTCAGAAGTGTGTTTGCAGAGTACCTGTACTAAAACTTGCTGCAGTTTCAAAAAAAGGTAACATGCATCAGTTCTGAATGAACTAAGTGTATGGGTACTATATGCAAGTTACTACAGCTATGTTTAATTTCACGGTTATTGTTTCTGAATTTGCTCCTCACTTCCATATGCTTAGGGGGAGCA